GTCTACTGGGTGTCCCAGATCAACAAACAACTGGAGAACATGAATTTAAAAAAAAATAGATTTGTGGAACTGTTAACAGCTAATAAAATTTTTCAAACAATTTCGACTGAATTTTATCTCAACAAAGTCCGGTTCAAAATTTGGTCACTAAAAAAACTAAAAAAATACAACCCATTGTAAGTGAGAATTCACACAAAATTGAACGCAAAAAATTCAAAAGAAGATTAAACAAAACGCAGTTGATCCGGGATGCCATGTACAATATCGTCAATCGTATATCGTGAGCGTACGAGCACGACAGATGCGTGAGTGTTATGTGTGCGTAAAAGAGGAAGAGAAAGAGAGCGCGGAAGAGGATCCGAGGGGGATGGAAAAGCCAATTCCGTCGTATCAGCGCAAATGGCTATTGGCCGACAGGAAGGAACGCCGCGCGCTCTCCGCAGAAGACGATAATAATAAACGTTCACGATCGGCAAGCTTCAAATTGAAGCGCGAGCGCGGGACCAGAAGCTTTTATAATCGGTCCTTACGCCACGCGATATTTCAATATCCGAGGCCCTTCCACGGTCGGATTATGGATCACCCCGGCTTGCTCTTTCATTAGTCCAAAAACCAGCCTACAATTTGTAACGTGGCGCGAAAGATGAGTTTTTCCAGAGTTCTTCACGAGGGTGTTTCAGCAAGATAAATTATCGCCTGCCTAAAGTTTTCGAAATTTACCGAAGAGAGCGATATCGTATACGTGCGAGAAATAGAAGCAATGCAATTAAGAAAAAAGAATTGTCAACGTTTTTTAAATTATCGCGACATCTCATATCGTTAATCATACTTTCACAAAATGCGAAATGAGTAATCAAAACTTTCAGGCACGAAGCGTCGAGTTTTCATTAAAAATTTACGATTAATCTAAAATCTACTTTCACATTTTTTTTACAACCTTTCGCGTAATATAATTTTCGTAATAATTTTACAAATTGCAATCGCAATTTTGAAGGTTTTCAGATTAGATAGACGAAATCAAATAACGCGAACAAATAACAATCGCAGTTTTGCACACATTCACATAATAAGAACAAGGAATAGTCCCAAAATAATAATGAAGTAACCTTGGTTGAATGTTCTATTGTTGCGCGGGATGCGTAGACTGCTTATTTTCGGCTGGCAAATAATGTACAACGAGCATTACGAAATTAGTTTAAGCTAGACGAAAGTTGCACGCCCCGTTGCGAACGACTGAGTATTGCGATAGCGCATTGTGTTTCACTTGCGCTACATATGAGAGAGATACGATTAAATAGCAATTCTTTTGTCTCGCGTGCTAAGTTCGCACACGTCCTTGCCATCGGCTTTTAACACATTATAACAAACGAAGTTAATTAACGTTTTAAGAGATTAAAGTATAAATTGTTCAACTAATTTAAACTAGTATCTATATTTCGGTAATTATTTAGTTAATATAAAAAATTCCAAATACATGGCAATTTTTTAATAGTGTTAATTTAAATAATAATTTTAATAAGACTTTTTTCGATTAATAAATTTAGTAAAACATTTTAAAAATCCATCCAAAGTTTCGCATCGAGCAATTAATTTAATGAGAATAGTTACGATACTCGGTTAATATCGAACAATATCGAAATACCTCTATTTAGGGTATGATAACGGATATACCTCTGACATCGATATTTCATGTTCAACATTAGTTAGTTAGCGATACATGAAGAGAAGTATCGAATTTCGTGCAATATTCCACGGCTGCGTTCGATTTCAATCGCCGTCATATCACGCGGAAGTTTCGAATTCTGAACTTCAATCTCAGATTCCAGGGTCTAATTAGCAATTTAATGATACGAGTTTTATTAGAATGACTTCGCAAACAGTACATTATTGCACTTTCAAGTTTTAATACGTAGAAAATTAGCGGTATCTTTTACGATTCCCATTTACGTGAATTACGAGCAAAATATCTTGAAATTTTTCACTGGAACTACCAGTATTTTTGAAAGTTTCATATCAGCTAATAAAGATTAAAATATGCTTAAAGATACTGACGTATCGGAAGAATGTTTCTCCTCGCCTGTGGTTCGTTTGGTGTGTCCAATTGCGGTTCGACGGCTTGCGGTGCGTGTGATACCGAACTTATATGCGTAATATCCTCGTCGCACGAAAAAATCCGTTGGCAGAATAACGGGATATAAATGACTTTTTTGCGGAGAGAAACCAAAGGAGCACACAAGTATATAAAAATATTTTAAACAAAAATCGGAACTTTATGTCGCGGAAAACAATTTGTGCATGCAAAATACGCATTTAAAATCTCGAATCGTAAACTATGGTTACAAAACCCATGGGTTTTGCAGCGTGCATTCTTATTCAGAAAAATAAAATATGTCCAAACTTGATGGACACAATTCTGGATATTTTTTATATCATATGAGGTCAAACTATATATTCATAAAAAGATTTCGAATTCTACCGCAAGTAATACGTCTATTATCCTATTTATCCCATTACGGTGCTATTTGTTGATATGATCCGATGTGTTAATGTTTTCGCTGCAAACTTGCAGTAGAGAGTAAGCACTCGAACCGGTCGGCCGGCACGTGCGCTCGGAAGTACGTAGTACGCTTTTCCGTACTACAACGTGACGAGGCGAACAGACTTTGGGATGTAAATGAATATTGCAAGTCCCCCCCTTCCTGCCAGCATGTCATGCGCCGGTCACGTCAACGAGGGATATATATATATATAT